CTCTTGCTACCAAAATAAAAGCCTTTTGATCCTCCTTACTGGTTGAAACACTGGTGTAGCCTTTTATTCACCTTTAGACACAAATGCACTAAGTACAACAGAAAACCTGATACATTTCAATACCTAAGAAAGCCTACAACATTTATCTTAATTTTCCCCTGCCAAAAAGCCTAGTTAGCATATTAATGCACATTAATGTCTTACTGCTACCAAAATAAAAGCCTTTTGATCCTCCTTACTGGTTGAAACACTGGTGTAGCCTTTTATTCACCTTTAGACACAAATGCACTAAGTACAACAGAAAACCTGATACATTTCAATACCTAAGAAAGCCTACAACATTTATCTTAATTTTCCCCTGCCAAAAAGCCTAGTTAGCATATTAATGCACATTAATGTCTTACTGTTTAGCCAGTAAGATACTGAAGTCAGTCAGTTCAATAGGATGAATGCTCCACTCCAATGGCTCTACACACTCAACAATAAAGACTTGTGTGCTTGAAGTCTGTGATGTGATACTGAGCCACCAGCTGTGATGTACTGACAACAAGGTAGTCATGGAGATCACCAACCTGCTCTGTTCCCAGTGGAACAGATAAAAGAGGCATCTCTGGGAAAATTGGTTAGTGCAAAACTGTTTGGAATCTGCACTTCAATGATTTATTTATACTTGCAAAAACATCAAAACCAAAACAAAAAAAAAAAGCCTTTCTTTATCCCCCCCCAAGCACTCAAACAAAATTTATGCAAAATATATAACCCAGGAAAAGTTTCCTCATATCCCTTCCTCCTGTACCCTAATGAGTTTGCTTCCCCAGAGTGAAATTCCCAGTTATGTTTTACAATCCCATTAATAAGAAGAAAACTTGACCTTCAATCTATATTTATTGTTGACCAAAGCCTCACGCCAACAAACAAAGCCTCTCCTTAGGCCTCACTATCCATCATTGCCTTTATCCACCACAAAAGCCCGCCAGAACAAATGAGTCTGGTACTAAGTCAGTAAATCTGGGCTGTAAAGAGAGGAGGCTCTTTCCAGAACTGAGGATCCTTTATGGATAGTGTCCTGCCTCCAGCCATTTCCTTTAAAACTCAATGGCATCTAGCATCAGTGGTCTCCCTGGTCACACTTACAGAGGCATATGGTTGGCAGGGAGATGCTCTTGCAGGATTTTTGCAACAAATAATACTAAGTAGCTAGGAAGAGAGCAAACAGGAGTATAAAAAGTTTTACTTATAAAAATTTATTTCATAAGTGCATCAAAAATTACCCTGAGCAGAGTAGATTAGACCTACAATTTAAAAACAAAACAAACAAAAAAACACATTTCTTGTGTTAATGAAAGGTTCTGTCTTCACAGCCTGTAAATATCAAGCCCCACATTTACCTGCCGAAGAGGGTAATGCTTTTCTACCTCCCCCACACAACTTCACCAGCAAACCTCCATCCTGACCTGAAGGCTCCACCACTAAGAGCAAAGGCATCATTTACCAACCATTCCTGTGACTCGCAGGTCTCTCTGATGAGAATCCCAAGGATGGATGCAAGTAAGGACAGTCACCACAAGAGCCTTCAGGCTCTTATTTCTATCACTACTGACCTGACTCATACAGAAATAGACAAGTGGGAAAGGTTGAGACTTTCTCATCTGGTCCCTGACCTAGAAAAAGGGCATCACAAGATCAGCAGATGTTACTCACCAGTTAAGGGACCACAAAAGAGGAGGATGAAGAGTGACTGATCACAGCAACCAATACCACTGAAAAAGGTAAACGTGGATTTAAAACCAACACAACCTGTCCTGCACCCTGGACAGGGTCACAAAGGAAAAAAAGTTCTGTCCTTTATCTTCCTCTTTGTCTTCCCTCCACCGACAATAGCCCTTCTTTTCTCACCTTCTACCTCTGACATCAAGCTTCTCTGCTGTTTTCCTCCCTCACCCACTTTCTACCTGAGTAAGTTCAGTCCTGTCTCCAGATCTTGT